GGCCAGAAGCATCGAGAAGTCGGCGTTCGAGGACGCCAAGAGACGTTTAGTTATGAACATGAACACTTCATTGACGATGCCCATGCCTACTTCAAAACCAGTGCAGTCCAGCCCCGCGCCCAACCCGTTTCAGCCCCGCACCTCAGCACCTCTATCCACCATAGCCACAGCAAAGCCCGTCCCAGCAAAGTCACCAGCTCCAAAACCACTCACGATGAAGCAGAAAGGAAAGGCGGCTAGGGGCACCAAGCGCAAGCGAGGCAAGGAAGATGGGGACAGGTCTCCGAGCCCCAGCGAGCAGTCTGACAGTGACAGTGATGCAGCAACGAAGGCCCAGAAGGCGGCTACCATGACAAAGTCCGGCCGGCAGGTGCAGAAACCGACACAGTTCAACCCCGGCGATGCTGCAGGCTCCCAGAAGCGGAAGCACTACGGAAAGCGGACCGCGGAGCAGGCACTCTGCAAGGTGTGCACGAGGGGCCTCAGCCCCAATATGAACCAGATCGTCTTCTGCGACGGCTGCAATTTCTGCTGGCACCAGATGTGCCACGACCCATACATCGAAGACGATTTCGTTAGTGACGAGACGCGCTCGTGGTTCTGTAGCCGCTGTATGGCCAAGCGCGAGAAGGCTTTAGCCAAGAGGAAGACGCTCGAGGAGTATAAGGGCGTCAGCTGGGCATCGAAGAGTGCCGACCAGGTCGGTTCCATTCTTGAACTGTGTATTCGCGCGCGTACTCTCATTAACTAATATTCAGAAACGAACATGGCTCACCAATATTCCACATGCTCAATTGGTCAACATTATCATGTACAGCACAGAGTTACACCCAGAGCTCCCCATTTTCCCGGCCCAGGAATCCGGGACGTCTTCCAAACGGGGTGCCCAAGGTCCATCAGCAGGGTCAACAACAGCCAGCCCCTTCCCGCCGAAGGTCAGCGGTCCAGCGAATTTCACTAGCACAGTCTCAACACCGGACACGAAGACTTCAGACGCAGGTGGAAAGTCTAGAACTAAGAGGAAGAGCTCTACCGAGGCCCAGGGCCAAGCAGAGCGTGAATCTTCGGTCGAATCGATCCCCCCTGCCTGGCCTAAGGTTGGACAAGGTGTTCTTGCCGGCCTGGACATGAACGAGGATGATCTGAGAGATAAGAACGACTTTGAGGCCTTCAGCGTCACCTCCTACGACAGCAAAGGACGGAAGGTGATGGAAAATGGCATGCCCGTGTGAGACCGTCAGGCGGTGGGGATACAGTAGATGTGCGGATGCGGCGGCTGATTTAACCCCCACATGCCACGTCCACGCACTTGCACGCGAGAGGGCGTGTCTATTATAGCATCATTTGGACGGCGTTTAAATCGTTATCATTCCTGGCGTTCCGGGGGCTCGGTCGGGAGGAAAAGGGCGGTCGATACCCGTCGTGTAGGTAGTCTCTTTCACTCAGTACCTACTCCGAGGCTTTTTCACATTCAGATTAAGGAGCTATCTGAATGACTTCCGCTAGAACCCGAAGTAGCTAGTTTAAGCGCCCAAGGGCGTTGATGAAAATACTGTTTTGATTCCATGAGTGATAGGCTGTCAAGCGCCCTTAGTTGTTTACACACAGTAATTGTGCACAGTATTTACTCTGCATCCAGTAACAATACGGATCAGATATCAGGTAGTACACGCCGGTCACGCGTTACGCTTGCTTGTGGGAGTTGTCTCCCCTCTTTCCTCGCTTCTATTGACGTCTCTGTAGCCCTTTCCCCCTCTACTTGCTAATGACTTATCTTTATTCCATTCAACTTCGTCGCTCGTTCTAAAACTGAGGGTATAACCACTTTCGTAGATACCCATAAGAGCCTCGAAAGGTGCCATCAAGGCCAATCACGTACCATAACGATTCCACTATGGCCTCTGTTAAAGGAGGCGAAGGAAAGGACACCGTTTCCCTCTTTCTCGATTCATTCAACGTTCTACCTAATACGACGCATAGAAGGCGAATTTGACGTGAACCTCCTCGAACTAGAGAGAAGCAAGCAACCATCACCATTACCTCCGCGCTCGCTTTCCGGCGTGATTAGCCGCCTTAAGCTACGTCACCATCTGAGACGTGTCTTGGTCCCCCAACGCAGTCCCGAAACGCGGCAGATTAGTGGATTTTTCGAAAGCCTACGCCGACGTAGGGTCACCCGAATCAAAAGGCTGGAGGTAGACGAGGATATAAAACACCCCCACGATGACAAAGACATTATTAACGCGATCAAGCACTTTCATATTGAGGAGTTGGACTGGAGGAAGACCAACATGTGTAGCACCGTGATATGTCGGGGCGCACCCAAGCTGCGAGAAGTAAACTCATATTCTAGTAGAAACAGTGACGTTCTTAAGTGCTAGTCTGATCATCGCTGTCTCCTAAATCTTGAAATGTAAGCACTCCTAGTCGAGGTCTAGCTTCTCGATCGAAACTAATCGCATGCACTAATATAGCTAGAAAAGTTATCCATTTCTATGCTTCAAGCGGCTAAGAGCATCAATGTTGCTCGCGATGGTCTGGAAGAATTGAAGAAGGAGTTCTTGATCTAGGGAAGGAATTCTAACGGTGTAATACCAATCATCGACGAAATCATTATACTAGAAGAAGAGTATGAAATGACCACATGGTCTAAGGCGATGGCTCAGCTGAAGAGATTCTTGGAGGATCCACAAGACGACATGGAATGGTATGTAACCTTTAAGCCTCTAGCTATTCAGCCATAAGCTGATGTATTAGGAGGACCTTGTTGTGCGAAATCCTTAACTTACTAGGGCTTTCATGGGGACGCAGCGCCACGGATGTAGAGGTTAAAATGGCGATCTGGTGGAGGAAGCTAAGAGTTAGGAGACCATCACTGGCTGCTTGAAAAAAAAAAAAAATCTCGGAATCGTTGCCGACGGACTAGGTGAACTATGATCAGAGGAACCAGAAGACGACGACCAGTATTAGGCAATAAACGTGGCGTAACTGCGATTAATGGGAAAACATTAGAGCGCAGAGAGGTAATAGTCTGTTGGTAGTATGCATGTGTATGCTCTACCTAAGTCTGCTCTAGGCATGTGCCTTTGACAAGCGGAGGTCCTCGATAGATATAGCCGATCTCGTATTAAGCGATCGCCAAGGAAATGCTATGCTGCAAGTAGTCTAGACCATCGGCATCTAGGCAGATAGGCTCGATAGGATCGGATCGCAACATGCTCACTCACACCGACTACCTAGATACCTCTTACTATCTATAGTATCTAGGGATGTATGCGTAGTTGCCACAGTCCTAAGGGATGTTGTGATGAGCTGACATAGGCTGATAAAATCTCACGCCGAAAACAGCGCAGCTCAATTACGTGCGAATACGTGCGGACAGACCGAGGCCAAACCCCTTAATCTGGTCGCTGACTCACTGGCTGTTTGCGAAAGGATTCAAGAGCCTGAGAATTTCGTATTGGCGGTGGGGAGATCTGCAGCCCTGGACGTTCCGGACTTCTGGACCGGGTATAAAGCGTTTGGAGATCAGCTTTTAATTAATAAACACCGAGGATTTGCAGTACCTATGTTTGCTTGCCTGGTCTGGGGTAGGTAGTTAAGGACTTAACCTACCGCAGTTGCCTGTAAGATTGAATGGCTATATAGATAATCAACTGAGGCCTTGAGTCTGCAAGATAACTCGGACTACTTACCACTCAGACAGAACAATACTCATACACACACACGAACTTGCCTAACCAACACATTCAACCCATAAAATAATCATTACCTCCCAACGTATCCGCACATCCATACGCCTAAACATTTACACACAATGCGCACTCCAACTTTCGTAGCCCTAGCGCTGGCCATCGTGCCCACAACACTCGCAGCAACGCAAGCCTGGCCATCGTGCGCAGCAGACTGCAAGTCCTGCGGCCTATACTGCAACTACGGGTGCGCCGCACCGCTGGACGCAACGAAGTGCAGCCAGTGCCTCTACTGCCGGCGGGAGTCATCGTCGTGCGGCTTCGTGCAGATCGGGTCGTCGTCGGACCCGCCGGCCGACCCGGCCTACTGCGCCATGTGTGACAACAGCTGCCACTGCTACATCGACGCCAAGTGCTACGACAACGTCACCATCACCGCCACGCCTACGAGCGCCTCGCCTTCTGCTTCGCCTGTGGCGCCGGTGACGGTAGCATGAAGAAGGGGATGGAGGGGATGGAGGAAAGAAGGGTGATAGAAGGTGTTATAAGTTGGTTGCCGGCTTGGCGCATGAGGTTAACCGCTTGGTTCTGGCTTATTTGGGCATACAGCATAGCTATCTTGGCAAGCGTACATACATACCTAGGTACTTCATACAGTATATCAATTTACTCTGGATAGATGGAAGTGAAATAAACGTACTAAATTGACAGCTGATTAAAGTATGATTTTGTGATCTAGAATATAGAATTTCTAGCTGTGGAACCATGTATGCTGTACGTACGTCAACATGTCTAGTACATCCCCGGGCAGACTGCGCACCACTTACAGGCTGTTATGTTATCCATCGGAGCAACACACTTTGTTGACGTTACATTCAATTTATCCGCAAGTATAAAACGTGCTATCGCTCCGATGTATCGCTTCGGCCATCGGGAGCATTTTGGTCTATAAACCAACATCGTATTTGTCTTTTAATCCTCATGCCAAAAATGGGAAGCTTGATATCCATGTGGTAACTAACTGCCTACCCTTACCTTACCCCTGGCGCAAGCTGGGTAATAATTGGGCGGACCACCTAATTCTACCCGGATGGCCTCGATCATCTAGCGGATGCTATGTTCTCTACATCTATTCCTACACATTTCGGACTGGAAAACATGACTTGCTACCGGTACCTACTACCAATATCAAGCTATACTTACTTTTACCGTACTAGCGTATGCCTGTTTGAGTTAAGTTTCTTTGTCCAATGTTCCACACACCAACTAAAAATAAGAGACGTAATAAGCTTTGAATTTTATAACGTCGACCGGTTGGCGCAATGGTAGCGTATAGACCTCCTACTTAAGCACAGTGTTAGGAATCTGACATTGTGTAGGAGGCCAGTCTAGGGTTGCGGGTTCGAGTCCCGTGCTGGTCGCACCTTTCTTTTTCGCCATCGTGTCCCTACGTTGTGGTGTCTTTTTTGTTATTGCAAGAGTAAGAAAAGAAGAGACCGGGTGAGATGAGAGGTGGGCACTGATTCCTTTTTATTCTTTTATTTCGTAGCATGTTATCTATCATCCCATTTTACTTGAGCCGGTTGCTGGTTGCTTATCACTAGAAGTTTAACTAACCCATTATCCTCTCTGCCTGACCTATCACTCCATGTGACATCTTGAATTTAAGCTCTGCAAAACAAGGTGTATAGATGGTGTTCATACCTCTTTCGTGGCCATACAAGGTAACCGTAGCCAACCAAGTCTGTTTTGCTTTTTATTCGGAGAGATATAAGGTTTTATCGAGAGAACCTACTCATCGTGGATTGTCAGAGCCTGTAATTGGGATGGATACCTACCTAGTGAAAAACACAGGTGGGGAGAGACTTGGGAGTTAGTACTTACCTTGGGTACTTTAGGTACTTACCTTGTAGCTAGCACCTGGGCAGTCTCAGCACGCGCACGCGCCAACGAGAAGCTAGAGCCTCATACTCCGTACAGGCTTTTTGATGTCGCGACACTGCGACATTGCGGTCCTGCCTACCTACAACATACCATTGAAGAATTAGCATTGACACCTTTTATACTCCGTCGACCTAATAACAACTATCCCTGCTTCTTGTCGCAAATCAATTACAACTTTATTGCAACTAAATAATCATCACCCATTACATTCACGGAACTCAAGCTATCCCCATCTATCCATCAATCCATCCATCCTGCTATCCGCCGTGAGATACCCTTTTTAGAGTCGAATTATGTCGATGGCCATATAGTATCATAGAGACAGTGGCCATAGTTGATTGGACTGCCACCGTATATCATCATGGCCACCAACGACGACCCACCCAAGAGACAGATTACACCTGTCCCCGTGCCCGTATTGCCAATGTCGTCCATCCCCCAAAAGCGAGTTCTCGAGGACGACCATGCGCCGCCCATCTCGTCTCCTCTCAACCCAAACCCGAACCCAAGCTCGCAGCAGTCCTACGATGACTCGGCGACTACGGCCCGCGACAAACCAGCGAGGACTAAGAAGGAGACGCTGAAGAAGCGTGAGTCCAAGGGTGGTATGGGTGGTGGTGGTGTCGGAGGTAGTGCAGGCTCTGGTGCTGGTGGGAATGGTAGCACAGATAGCTCGAGAGCCACGCCTGATCGCAAGCTCAAGGAACGTATACCCAGCGAGACTTCACCCTTGCGCTTCAAGCTAGCCCCTCCAAAACCCTCCGACTTTGACCCTGCGCGGGGTCCCATCTTCACCCATCACCACGACGTCCCCGCTCCCGACGGCTCTATCCTCCAGTTCTTCGAAACCTCAGAGCAGTAAGTTGCCGTCTTCCACACCACCCGCAACACCATACAACCATAACCTCTGTACTATCCATGCCGTCTTGATGGTCCGCTAACCTTCATATCAAGTGTGTACAACAAGAAAAGTTACCAATACCTACATTGCATTGCCGATCCCGTCTTTCCCTCTTCATTTTACTACCGCCAAACCGAACCCGAGCCATATGGCCCTCATATCAGCTTCGAAGATGCCTCTACACACATGTTCTTCGACCAGTCGGGACGGCACGTCACCACAGACAAGGGCTTCCGTATGGCTAGAGCAAATGTGGCCGTACGCGAGGGCACGTGGTACTGGGAATGCAAAGTGAACAGGGGGATCCTAAAAAGCGAGCCCGGAACGAAGAACGCGAGTGGCAGCAAAGATGCGGCCTATCAACCTGAGTCGCATGGCCATGTACGCATAGGCTTTGCCAGACGAGAGGCTTCGCTAGACGCTCCCGTCGGCTTCGATGCATATAGTTACGGATTACGAGACGTTGCTGGCCAAAAGGTGCACATGTCCCGACCTAAAGACTTCTTTCCCCCCGGTGAGGATATGAGGGAAGGCGATGTCATAGGGCTCGAAATTCGATTACCATCCGAACACCTACACAGGAAGATTGTCCAAGGACAGTATAACCCTGCTGTTGATTTAAATGAGGAAGAAGAACCCATCGTTGAAGCAGCCAATATCATTCGAGACCGGATACCTATCCGATTCAAGGCACATATTTATTTTGAGAAGATAGATTACCACTCATCCAAGGAGCTAGAGGACCTAATGAATCCATCGCCAGTAGGGACGTCCGGCCAAGGTAATAATCGGCAAAGCGACAAGCCGAACCCGAATCATGCCGTCCCCGCTCTACGAACATTACCCAATTCCCATATCAAAGTGTATAAGAACGGGGTACTAATGGGCACCCCATTCACCGATCTCTTCGCCTTTCTCCCGCCTGCCTCCAAACCCCAGGTCCAGCCCGGCGCGCGAGAAGGCAAAGATGATGGCATGCTAGGATACTACCCAGCCATTAGCGTGTTCCGAGGCGGTGCTATCGAGACCAATTTCGGACCCGATTTCTGGTATCCACCCCCGGGCTATGCCACTCCCAATGCGGATGTGGACATGATGGATGTAGACGATGACACAGTGCGAGTTGGCATCCCGCAGCAAAAGAAGCTAGATAAGACGCGGGCCATCGCCGAACGCTACGACGAACAGATCGTCGAGGATATCGTTGCTGATATTGTCGACGAGGTCGATTTCTGGATGCAGGACGGCGCGCGCGTGCTCGATCGCACAGGTGGACGCGATGAGAAGGCCGAACCGGTCGGAATTGCGCCCGCGAGCGAGGAGATCAAGGAGCTGGTCCAGGATGACTAGAGTCTTATCTCTATTCGCCTTCGTCGCTAGGAAGAATTTTGTAGCTAAGAGCGCGACGAAAAGGTCGCGCAACGGGGTAGAAAGAAAGCCATGCTACTTGATAGACTCGAACGTTACAAACTAAACATCGATTACCATATGCGCCGATTCCATTAAAAATATTGGTTATTCCATTGTGAGAGCATACGCGATTCTTATGATGGTATTAAACCTCGCTAGAATCTATGTATAGAGTGACTTTATCATTGGCAGCGATAGATGGCAAAATTAGGGGCTGCTATGCGGGGAACTCGTAATTCCGCTCTTCTTTCGATCTACCTACCAACCATCGGCAATAAGAGAGAGAATAGTGAGTGGATAGATGCGTAGTCTCAATTCACGCATTGCGCTTCGAGAAGTCTCTTACTTACCTCATTTCCAAGCGAACCCATACGAAGAGAAGAAGTACCAGAGCTAGTCGGTCGGATGGTCATCTTGTTTTCCGCCTTGGCCGACTGAGAGGCGCATAGTCAGTGTTATAGCCGTACGGATCATATAATAATAATATCGAGGACTGGTGGGCCGCACGACAACTTTAGACAGCTCCTAGCTCGAGCGCTCCTATCCCTGGAACGTCTTTGTATACCAGACAGACCATTATATACCATATTGGAAACGCCCATATATATATAATCTCTAGCATTGCCATGTTCTACCCTATACCCTAAAAGAAAAATAACTAAAGTTGTATCCTCTATCGCAAGGAACCTTAACAATAAAAACCCGTTTATTAAACCACCAAGACCAACAAAAAGGGGATACGAGACCGGGTATCATCATCGTCATGTTTACATCGTTACATCATCAAATCCGTCCCTCCATCATCTAAAACCCTAGCAGACTAAGTCCCACTTTAGCTCGCTTTAACCTCTCCCGTCTTCGGCTCATCGCGGGCGGCGTCTGAACTAGGAGCACCCAGCATGGGATCATCAGGCGGCTCCTCAACACGGGGTCCTTCGATCTCCCCCTCCACCTTCGCAGCCTCCGCCTCCGCCACCTCGGTCGCCTCGCGCTCAAGCCTAACTTCGCGCCCGCGCTTGTGACAGTACCACAGCATAGAAAGGAGTAAAAACACCGCGAGGCTCCACAGCACATTCGTGCCCACAAACGCCGGGAAGCGGGTCTTAAGAGCATTAACAATTCCCTTCAACAGCCCCACCAAGGCTCCCGGCTTCGTGACAAGCTCCTGTAGATTTGATGGGGTGAGGAACTTCTTCGCAGCCTCCTTCATCCCCGCCCCCGTAGCAGTAGCCTCAAGACCTTGCGCCTCGGCCGCAGCAGCGAGGAGCTCGGGGGCCAGCGACGAGGTGAGCTTCTCGGGCAGCTGCGCGACGAGTTTCTTTAGGCTCGACGGCAGCTTCTCGAAGTTGCGCGCAAGCAGGCCATCTCGGTCGTCGAGGAGCGAGACCAAGTCCCCGTACGCTGTCGGCACGCCGTTGACCAGGTCTTTAAGGACTTGCGTGAAGCGCCGCGCCATAGCGGCCGACTCAGCGGACAGCGAGAAGGCACGGTTGTTCTTGGCGGATAAGTCCAAGTCATCGAGGACGCGGGCGAGGTCAGAGTTTTCATGCGGGATGTTGCCTTCCGCACCGCTCGTGCTACCTTGGGGCACGGAAAGATTTTCGGGATGGTGTTTGCCGCGCCGGAGGAAATTTGTGGTGAAGGTGAAGCGCTTGTGTTTGCTGTCGCTCTTGGATTTTGAATGCTCTTTCCCTTTCGCGTCTTTTGATGTCTCCTTTCCCTTGCCTTTCGATTCCCCATCCTTGCCTTCTTCCTTGCTCGACACGCTGTCCGTGTCGCTGTCAATGTCGATCACAGGCGTCTTAACGCGCGGGGGGAGAGGCGGCGGGGCCTCGTCGCCGTCATCGTTGTTTAGGCTCGGGTCGGAAGAGGTGAGGCGTTCAAGGAACTTCTCGTCTTCGCGGTCGAGGATTGGTGCTCCCTCTATTGCGACATCGTTGTCATCCTCGTCGTCATTGTCATCGGGGGGTTGGGAGATGATCTGCGGTGGTGTAGCCACGGCTTCTGGCCTGGCTTCTGACTCCGCTGCTACTTCATTCTTGGTGATTTCCGGCTCGTTTAGTTTCTCCTTCTCCTTCCCTTTGTCTAGCTTTTCCTTTGCAGCTTTCTCCTCCCGGTGCTTCTTGATTTTCTTGTACGAGAAGTACTCCAACATTTTCGGGCGTG